TCTCTCTCTCTCTATGCATATATACATACATATATATGCATATTACTAAGTCTAGAGTCTGTGTATTCATTATGGCAATATTGCAGAGACGGAAGCCAAAGGTCATGTGACTGAAAGTAGGAATTTAACAGATTAGTAAACCACGTCCTAATTTAAGAAGAGAAGGTAAAATTGCATTTTGCAGAATCATACCCACATGCATGCAAAGTAGAACATATATAAAAGAAATAAACAAAGAAGAAGAAGATAAGTTGATTGAGGCGTGGGAAGAGAGAGATAAGAGATGAGAGAAAGAGGTGATTGAGCCGTGTGCGCCAATATCACGTTGAATTGCAGCAACTTATCAATGCAGCAAAAAGTCAACTTCCTCCTCATCCTCATCGCCGGAGGACCGCCGGCGGCGCCCGGAGGACAGCATAATCAGAGGCAACTCTCCGGCCATATAGCCTTCCTATTTCCTCCTCCTCCTGGACTAATCTATATTATTCGCCAGCCTTCTTCTTAATAATTACTATTGATCTCCATCATGCTCTCTCTGTAGCTCTTCAATTCTATCTGTCTTCTTCCCAATCAGACTGTTATTTCTCAGCTGGTTTTCATACTGAAGGCTCTCAGAACACTTAAACCACTTGCTCTCTCTATCTCTTCTCGCTGTATCTGAACAAGTAATTGATTGAGGGAAGTCCTTAAATGAGGCATGAAGGGGTATTTTGGGAATAAGATTCAACAAATTACAAACTAAATAACTTAATTGGGTTGACCTCCAACTGAGTGGGAGCTACAAAACTTGTTCATTTGAATCCGATTATTATTAATTAATTAGAATAATATCAAGTAAGAGCGTAAGATGAGTTAATTAATGCCCCCCCCCTACGTAATACTAATATAAGACGATAAATCTGATGCTTATCATCATCATCTTCAATTCATCATAGCCCATATAGCATCAGCACCCATATATGCTTATCTAAATATACAAATTGTGGAATAATAGTTTGTCTAAACTTATGAGCCGACACCAAATGAGAGATTATTAAATATGAAGTCTAATTTTATCAATTATCTTAGATAAGGTTGATCTTCATTTTTCAAGGTTAATACCATCGTAGTGGGTTGATAATATGGTACTTAAAAATCTTAAATTAAGGCTATCATAAAGTCTTAAATTGAAATGTTATCATGAAGGAATATATACAAGTTGTAAAGAAAGTCTATAAGTGATGCTACAAGATTTTTAAATAGTAATTGATAAGTAGTATTAGAAGGTGTACATTCCACTATGTAAACGCATATAATCCTTAGTTGTAATGAATCAACAACAAAGAATAATAACTAAATTAGAGGAGGAGATTTGAATTTTTGAATGTGTAAAATTGGATGTGTCAAAATATTTAGAGAGTACTAGATTTCAATTGTTGTTGGGCATTTGCAGGCCTTTTCCAATGAATTTGTAATGGCTAAAGGTGTTCAACATAATCATGGATCTCCTTGAATGAGAGGAAATTGTATGACCTAATTTGTTATGTAGTTTGAATACACAAAAGACTATTAATTGGTGATCCAAATATAACCTTTAAAATTCCTTGAGAGGTTATTAATTTGACCTATATTATCAAGGTAATGGAAATCAATGCTCTAACTTTCAAACTTTTTTTTTTTACCCTTTTAGTTGGATGAAAAATAATTATAATATAAAAATTTGATGAATTAATTAAAAGCCATCATTTAGTTCAAATTTGATATAATTAACCCTTTTAGTTGGATGAAAAATAAATATAATATAAAAGCCATCATTTAGTTCAAATTTGATATAATTAGAAATCATTTAATTTGATTGATTAATAAATACATTGCACAAGATGTAGCCATGGCCACTTCCCATTGTTGCCACCACGACCACAACCATGAGTCACCACCAACAATTGGGTTTTACATTGATTTTATTTTACTTCAACTTACGTACATAAAAAAAAAAAATTTTTTTTTTGCATTGGTTTAACACTTGGCGGGCAACTCAAAAGTATTTTAATATGTTACATTGTTTTTACATTGCATTGGATTCTTAGAAAATCAAATTACCCCAAAAAGTTTCAAAAGAAATGCAATCATATGTGTGGAAAAATAAGATAAATCATTAAAGGATTAAACTTCAAGATTTTTGAACTATTATACTAATACTTCTTCTCTGAAATCGATCTTTGAACTCTTAGAGAAATAATTTTTTTTTTTTTGCGGAATTCTCTCTTGTAGAGACACACAATAACACTTGCCATCATAATGTCTCTCAAAAAATATTTTAAACATACAATTTAAATGACATTGAAGATATAAGTGCTTGGTCTATAGAGTATGTAGTTGGCAGAGTGTCTTACCTCAAACTAGTAGACTTGGATTCAAGCACACATTAATCAATATGAGGGCTCAACTTTCTTAGTTGTCACTAGAGCTTGACTCATGTAATCCTCACTCATAAAGTATCCACCACAAAAATATTAAAAAAGAGATGCGAAGAGTAGGAGAGAAGAGGCGTGCTATCTTAGAACGAAAGGTAAACATTATATGTTTGCTTTGTAAATTAAGTTTTTTTTACTATTCAAGAAAGAAAAATTCTTGCTCTACTTTTTGTCGTTAGTAATAGTGTTTCTCTCAGTTAGAAAAAAATTATATATATTTTTTATTTCTTTAGTTTTTCATAAAAATATAATTTTTAGTTAATCTTTCTAATTTAAAGCTTAGTGGATTATTTAATATGTGTAGCACTTTAACTTGAGGGCACCCTCCTTCTTATCAATGGGATGCACCAATGGCCATACTAAATTATCATCCCTAGCCTTGTTGACACGAAAGAATCCATTAAAAAAACCATATAATTTGTAAACGTATATCTATATTTAAGTGAGTACTCCTAAATTCTCCCAATAAATTAAAAAGGTGATTTATTCAAGGATTTGTGCACTAAATCATAACCATAATATGCTTTTTCACCAAAGTATAAATAATAAACCATCATAATGCATGAAGATATTTACAGGCTAGATGTCAATGGATGTTGAACATTTGGAGTGACTAAAGTTGTTCAACATAATCGTCCTCTTAAAGATGAGAACATTGTATGCCCAAATTTTTTATAGCCCGAATGCACGAAAGATAATTGATTAATTGGCGATCCAAATATAACCCTTAAAATTTCTTAAGAGCTTTTTTGGACCTATAATATTAGTTGGTTCTAGACCCCGGTGCGACCACACACTTTACTTCAGATCTTAACAACATCTAACCTCAGCACACTTAATCTTGATAGAATTGGCGGACATTCTTACTAAAGCTCTTCCAAAATATCAGTTTCGTGCTCTTCACACCAAGCATATGGTTCTACCAAGAACTCTCAGCTTGCAATATACACTATGGTCCCCAAGCACCCATAAAATCAATATGATAACCGAATGGCAGCATGGCACTCAGTACTCTCACATCACCCACTCCAGAATATTCTATATTAGCAGTATATAACTTGTACTACTATAGAGGTGCTATTCCATGGGCAACACCTACTGGTAAACTACTTCTTCTTCCCGTTCTGTTTGTTGTTCTTGCACTTCTCAAATCACTGCCCACAATTGGTTTTTATATTGATTTAAAAATGATCTCTTGCATTTATTTGACACTTAATCAAACAATTGAAAAACATCTATAATATGTTACATTATTTTTTATTTTGCATTTATTTTTCAGCAAATCAAATGACCTCATAATTCTCAGAAAATGTTTTGATCATATATGTGACAAAAAAAGATAAATCATTACATCATTAAACTTTAAGATATTTCAACTTTTATAAATAATTTTTCTCACAAATTGATCTTTGATCTCTCTCGGAAACAATATCTAATGAATTCTCTCTTACTAAGATGTATGCCAGTGTAACAGTTATTATCATAGAGCCCCTCGAGAATATTTAACAATCAAATTTAAATGACATTGAAGATACAAGTGCTTTGTCTATAGAGGTGTCATCAGAGTTCATATTGAAGGTATAAACAAATTATAAATATATTAAAGGAAGCAATAAACATCATAACATGTATCACTGATATGTAAAGATGTAATGGATAAATTTTGGCATAGGTCTTCCCCTTGGAAAACACAAAACATAATAAAATTATGAAATTATAGTTTATATAAAATAAGTTATTACAATATGATTCATGCATCTTAGTTAATATACAACTTGATTAATAACTTTGGGTCATCCAATGCTTTCATATTTTTTTTCTTGCAACTTTTTAGCCTCATTTTTGGGTGATTAAATTAAATAATTTTAACTCCGCAGCTTTTAGATTACCATAAAATCCTCAAATCATGAAATTATGATCAAATAAAACGGTTTTTTTTTTGTTTATGGGCCTAAATTAATTTATACTTTAAATTAAATAAGCCCAGTTTTGCGCTGAGGCTCGATCCAACTTAGTCCCTTCTGGATCAAACCAAACAACAACAAACATATGAGATTTAAGTTAGTAGGATTTAGTTGCAGGAGTAACTTTTAAAAATATGTTTTATTTGTTAAAATTTTAAAAAAATGTAATTAATTTTTTATTATTTTACTAATATGAAAAAATAAATAGTTAAATATAATCAAATTGTATTTAAATTTTATTTCTAAGTATGTTAATTAATAATTAACCAGTCTAATTATTATTCAGTAAATTGATTAATTATTATTAAATTTTATTTTAACTAATTATTTATAAGTAATAAATTACATTTATAAATTAATAAGTAGCAATTGATTATATTAATTACTAATTACTTATAATTTTAATTAAATAAATAAAAATTAATCAGTTTTTTAATAATTAACTATTAAATAGTTATGAATAAATGCATGTAATTATAATTAATAAGGTAATATAATATTAATCAATCTTTTTTATTATTAATCAATTAAATTAATAAAATTAACTTAAAATTAAATGACTTACCCCCTTCCCCCTATGCCCGAAACCCTACCCCCTCCCGCACTCCCGGTTCGCCCAGAACCAGCACCTTCGCGACCGAACCGTCGCGATAATAGTCGCGATTAGAGCTAGCCGGAAAGCCAACGACGGAATCGAGGCGTAAAGAGACCACCTTTCTCCTCCATCATTTCCGCTCCTACCCGAAACCATTGAGGAAGGTGAACCTGTTCGCGCCTTTCTTTCTCTTCGCCGAACATCAGGATTTAGTAATCAAATCCGCGTCTTTATTTTGTACAAACTTACCGTCTGGCAAGAGTTGGTCTAAATCCGTGGCCAGACAGCCCCTTCTGTTACTAGTCATCGAGGCTTTACTCGGCTGAACAAATTTGCAGAGGCAATGGGGAAAAGAAGAAGGCGGTGCAAGAGGATGAAAGTAGGGGATCCATCTTCTCCTACTCTCTACCCTTCTCTCGACCTGAAGACGTTTCCGTTAATGCTTGCCGCCGCTTCTACAGCCGATGCCCAAAATCCCATCTTTCGGTCCCTCCTCAAACGCCTCCTTTCTGCTCATTACTCCCTCCTCACCCCTCCCACTTGCTCTCTACTACCACTCTCTATTCTCCTCCCTCCTTGTCTCCTCGCTCTCCTTCCCCTCCTCCTCGCTTCTAGGTAATTAATTGGAAAAAGTCTTCCCTCTTTTAGGCTTTTCCCAGCTTTAAAATTTCTTCTTGGTTTCGGCTAAATCTTCGGGCATATTGTGATAATTTAAGAAAAAATGACCTTTTTTCGCTTTGTCTTGTTCCTCAGCTGCCCGTCTTTAGCTGTTCTGAGTGCTCAGCTGGTTGGCGCAGCTTCACTTTGCTCTCTTGAGGCAAACTCGATGATAGTTTTGGATAAAGAGATTGTTAATGAGCTTCTAAGGGCAGTAGTGAGCAGAAGCCGGAGCGTGGCAGTGGCAGCCTGTAATGCTGTGCTGGATCTCTCTGTATCATCTAATGGAAGGGAGACACTTAGAAGAGAATTTCTTGTGATTGAGAAGCTTTTGTAAGTATCCGCACAGTTAACCTTTTTAACTAATTTTGCTCTTCATTATGGTCATATATCTAAACTCATTTTAGCTCTTATTGTTGAGAAATATGACTAAACCAAATCAATCACAGGACAAAGAAGATCACACAAAATATGCCAATAATTTAATGGGAAATGTACATACTTGGAACACAACTCATATGTATTTGCATATCTTACACCTAAAATGTTATATTTACATACATAGCACTTTGGTATTTTAAACCTCTGCATGAAAATGTTTATTTCACTTTTAAAAAGAGGTAATAGTACTATTTTTATGTGATATTAAAGATTTGAGTGTTGTGCTTGTAAATATGAAAGTTTAGGTGTGAGGTATGTGAACACATAAGAATTGTTTAATATGCAAGTAAATGCCTAAGAGTGGCTAAAGTGGCTCTAATCTGTGGTCTTGTATGAATAGACCTTTCCTTTAAGCATTGGTACATGAATCCCATCTTATATGACTTTGTTCCCTTTATTTGAAACTTTTTCTTGTGTAATCTTTATTTTTTAGCTTTTTTTCATGAATTTTAATTTCCTATAGATCTTTGTTGAATCAGGTGAATGACTCTCCAAAAGACCTCCTTTCCCTTGTTCATGATGAAAAATGTGATACTCCTGTAGCATTGGTCCTTGATGCTGCGTTAATTTTGATAAATACATCCGATGAGGACCGCTTACAAAGTGTTCCACATGAACTTATTGAAAATTTTCTCCCTTTGCTGAAGGTATTGTGGGAAAATTCATATAACTCCAATCTAACAAGTAATTTACATAGGGAGCATGACTGTGTTCATCGTAAAAAGTATGATCTAGCTGCTGCTTTATTTAGGTTGTCTATGGATCATGTTCCTCTTGAAAATTGGAAAGCTGAGGAACTTATCAGGGGTATTTTTGGTGTTGAAAAATTTACTTTTGAAAACTTCATACTCGACCACTGGGAGGTCTCACCACTTGTTTTCAAGGGAACATGGAATAGTTTGGAGGGTAACCACTCTATCTTCAACTCACTGAGTAATTGTTTTGGTTACATGAAAGATGGAATTTTTCTTACATCCTTATCACAAAAGTTAGTATCGTGTCCTCCTATTGCATCGGATGAGTTAGACATCTTCTCTTTTCTAAAAGAAGTAAATGATTTCTTAGGCTCTCAAATCATTTATGGGCAAGATATTCGCGTCCTAAAAACGCTGACGGAATCCATGCATGAAATTGGTGACGAAGAAGTCCACTTTTTCAAGGATAGCATGGAATTTGACTTGAAAGATGAATTCATTATTCAAAAATTTAAAGAAGCATTACAAGATGGTTTTACCATTGCTTTGCGTGGAATGGAGTTCAGGAATAGTTTCGTTGCTGCGATTACTGAAATGCTATCGAATTTATTAGGTCAGCCGTCGGCTGGGGCGAACATATACCTGACACCTCCTAAATCTCAAGGTTTGGCAAGACATTTTGATGATCACTGTGTGTTTGTTTGGCAAATATTTGGAAAAAAGCAATGGAGAATTTTGCCGCGATCTGAGAACTTTATCCCGAGGCTTTACGAACCTCTTGGTTCCTTGCAGAGTTCAAGTCGAGATGAAGGTGGATATATGGATGTTCTAATTAAGGAAGGAGATGTTCTGTATATTCCAAGAGGATTTCGTCATGAGGCTCATACAATTTTCAATGTGGATGAGTCTAAGGACTCAGATGGTCAATTTTCCTTGCATTTGACACTTGGAGTTGAAATTGAGCCTCCATTTGAGTGAGTTATATCTTGTAATTATCAATTTTATGAGTTTTCTGCGTCTTAGCCATAATACTCAGATCTCTTATTTTCTTGTAGCATGATTAATATCTTCCTTTTTAAGAACTTAAAATTTCCTGCAAAAATTTTTAACAACTATGGTTAAGCCTAATCCCTACTTAATTTGTATGTTTGGTTCTGTTGTTTTTATTTTTATTGTTACCCTATTAGCTACACCGCCGGAATTCTCACCCCATTTTCAATATCATGTAACATTCAATGTGTGATTGATTTTTCTACATTTTTTTTTATATTTCATCATAAATTGATGCATGTTCTTCTTTCTGTACTAAACAATTTGTGTTAGGTAATCTTCATCCTATCTGATAATATTGATTGGGAATTAGTTTGTGACCTAATTCAAATCATCTAGAGCAAATTAGCATAAGTAAACAAACGAATAAAAAAAATAGTGATTTTTATATTGTTTCATCTAATTAATGACTACTTCCTATTTGTGTTGTTGTAGGTTGCACTATGATAACGCTCTTATAATGATTTTTATAAGTGAGAAATTCAAAGCATGTCATATTTTCTACAATTTTTTTTTTAATTTTTTATTATCTCTTGTGATGAAACTTCAATAGGAATACCCCATTTTTTTAATAGAACACTAACGCAAATATACTTGACTTGGGGCTCATCGAGTCTAGCTGGGCGTAGGTCCAACCCAGTTGGGTTGGCCTGTCCTCTTAGAGTGGGGGCCTACCGTCCCCTCCTTTCTCCCCTTTCCTTTCTTTTTTTTCACTCTTTCTATTCTTTCTTTCTTCCTCTTCATTTTTTCTTAATTTAAATCCTTTCCTAAAAGTCTAAATTTTGATTTTATTATCCTTTTTTAATTTAAATATTTTCCCAAAATATGAAAGTTGATTTTTATTCTCCTTTCCTATTTTAAAAGCCTTTTCTAAAATTTGAAATCTGATTTTTATTCTCTTTATTTTAAGTGTTTCCTAAGATAAATGTTTCTTTATAAATAGGAGAGGATGTGCTTTGAAATAGGGGTCTGTTTTACGAAATTTAAATTCAATTTTGTTGAGTATTTTTACTCTTGAGGGTTGTATTTGACGTCAAGGTAGTGCTCTGATTGTCCCTTGTTCGGCGTGGTGATAGTCTCCACGGGTCCGGGTGGTGCTCCAGTTGTAGCTCGACCTCGCCGAGATATTTAGCTTTTCGTATATCCTCCTAGTTGTTGTTTTACTTCTTCCACTGCAGCCCCACCTTTCCAGCCTTCACCGCAGCCGCCAATCTAGCCTCTGATGACGTTCTTGCATCTCTGCAGTTGCGGTTCGACACCGTTACCATCGCCACCCTTGCTGCCACTGCCCAAAACAACAAGGATATACAGTTTTCTGCTGTTCTAGTCTCCACCCATCGCCTTATCTTCCCTCATTCTTGTTGCCCTCACTATCCTTGCCCTCCACCTTCCCTGCTGCAACACGTAGCGCCTTCGCTTTGTTGTTTTCTTGCTGTCTAGCAACCCTAAACATCAACCAGCTGTTGTTTTAATTGCCACCCCAAGATGTCTTGTTATTTCTGTGGTTGTCCATCTCTCCTGCCACCTCCCTACAGTCGTAGCCCTCTTTCCTCAACCACCAACCGCCGTCCAACAACCTCCATCCTCTTTGTCCCTCATGGAAGCCTTTTATTGTTTATGTTTTCATATTTGTTTGTTATTTTTTTCATGCTTTCCCATATCGTATTTGTAATATGTCTGGAATTCAGAAATAATGTTTGTGTTTCCGTTGTGATTTGGTTTAACTTCGGTATCATTTGGTATCAGAGCTAGCCCAACTTTTGTCTCATCGTAGGGTTTCTTAGCATTAAACCCAACTCAAACCCTAACCCTACCAAATTTTTTTCTTTCTTATTCCTAAACCTTAGCCATGCCACTAATGAGATACATGTTCGTACCTACCCGGGAGTAGATACGGCGAGAGATATGCCGACTTTAGCGGTTTATTACGAACTTTGAGGATGAAATTCAATGGGAGGTGATCCTCGACCGTGATCGAGAGCGTCGAAGGGGAGAACGAGAAACTCTGATGATGAAGCAGGAGACACGGTACCAGTTCCTGCCAACTTACGACCGCCAAAAGTTACATACCTTAGCATTAGAAATGGAGAGACCACATCACCCAAGCGACCCCCCTTGCTAATATCCAACGATACCAATCTACAAGTCTGTCACAGCCGGAATATGTTGCAAATGTCACAGATTTGGACATATTGAAGCAGAATGCACAACCAGTGGAGTGAACAATTTCACCGAGCAGGGAGTCATTGAAAAGTTGGGTAATGACACTGTAGGCACTGAAAATGGTGAGGACTTAAACAGGGAGAACACGCTTCCAGTTAAAGAGGTGAATGATCGGGAAGAAGATACAGACTTTCGAGAGAATTCTCATTTTTTCAGCCAACGAGGAAGAGACACCACCAAATCCAGTTGATCCCGAGATAGAGATTCCAGTTGAAGTAACAGCCGCTGCTTTTGATGATAGTGACTCTAAGGTAATAGGCGTCCTAACAGATTCTGAGATTATGGTGTCTCGAGCTAGCTTCTTTCAGACGGTAAGAGGTACATGAGTAGGAATGACCTTGGATGTCTACAAGGGTTATGAGTTCGAGGAACTGAGAACAGATATAGGTACATGAGTAGGAATGACCTCGGATGTCTACAAGGGTTATGAGTTAAAACCCTTTCCTAAATTTTTAAATTGGATTTTTATTCTTCTTCTTATTTTATATGTTTCCTAAGGTAGGTCGTGTCTCTTTACAAATAGGAGAAGATGTGCTTTGAGTTAGGGGTTTGTTTTATGAAATCTGAATTCAGTTTTGTCTTAATATTTTTTCTCTTGAGGGTTGTATTCGGTGACAAGGTAGTGCTCTGGTTGTCCTTTGTCCGAGGTGGTGATTGTCTCCATGAGTCCGGGTGGTACTCTTGTTGTAGCTCGACCCCACCAAGAAATTTATCTCTCTGTCCGTCCTCCCGGTTGCTGTCATACTTCTTCCACATCAGCCCCACCTCTACGGGCCTTCACCGCAGTCGTCAATCCAGCCTCCGACGACGTTCCTGCACCTCTCCAGCTGCAGCCATAACAACCCTTGCTGCCACCTCCCAAAACAGTAAGGATCTACTGTTTTCTGCAGTTTCAGCCGCCGCCCCATCGCCTTATCTTCTCTCGTCCTTGCTACCCTCACTGTCCTGGCCGTCCACCTTCGCTGCCGCAGCACGCAATGCCTTTGTTTTGTTGCTTTCCTGCTGTCCAGCAGCTCCAAACAGCGACCGGCTGCTGTTTTGATTGCCGCCCCAAGTTGTCTTGCTGTTCCAGCGGCTGCTCATCCCTCCTGCCACCTCCCTACAGCCGCAGTCCTCTTTCCTCAGCGACCAACCGCTGTCCAACAGCCTTCGTCATCGTTGTCTCTCACGGAAGTCTTTTATTGTTTATGCTGTCATATTTGTTTGTCATCTATTTTCTGCTTTCCCATATCATGTTAGTAATATGTTTGGAATTCAGAAATAATATTTGTGTTTTTGTTGTATTTTGTGTTAACTCCGGTATCAATACTTTTATACAATTATAGGCACTCTATCCTTGTATTATCTCTGCAAAGACCGTTCTTCGTAAAACATTAATTAGACTTCATAATTTAGCGACATAAAATTTTAGTAAATGTATGTGATACTTATTGGGGGAGTTTTTCACATAAATTAGGATAAACAAATATTTGATTTCTTCAAAATAAAATAACTCAACTCGAATGCATAAAGATAAGCACCAACAATTCAAGAGGCGGACGGTCTTTCTCAAACCCTAGACCTAAGGCTCAAGCCACAATCCCATTAGCATAGCCCAAACCCTAAACATATCATCCCTAATTATTACCCACAATAATAAATAATGAAAATTTTTTTTTTTTCATCTTCAGGTGGGAAGGTTTTACTCATATAGCTATTCATTGCTGGAGCCAGAAGAAGCAGAAACATAATTCTATTCATCCCATCGACTCTGAACTGCTCAAACTAAGACGTGTGCTTGTAAATATGTTACATGTTGCAGTAAGGCTGACTGCTGATAAAAATACGGTACTAAAAAAGGCTTCTTTGATCACCTCCCCTCCTTTCTCCTCCAATATCAGATCGAAACAGAAAGCTACTTTCCATCATATTATCAATACCATTAACGTAAGCTCCATCTTTTGGGAGACATTCAATCTTATTGTCACTGCTGTTCGAGAGAACAATGAAGACTACCTGCAGTGGATGAGATGGCTCAGACATCTGTGTCCCCAAAATCTTGATTTTAAGAATTCAATTTTTGATAAACCATTGGAGCTATTCAAGGAATTTGTGTTGCTGAATTGTAGGCCTTTGGAGGAGGTGATGGATGAGTTCTCCCAGGTTAAATCTGACTTCTGCACATTTGTTGTTTTTGAAGATGCGTGTGATGAGCTGAGTGTGTTGCTTCAGAAATACAGGAAAACTAGACAACAGTATATGAAGGGGATGCTTTCCCTATAACTGCTGCCATTCTCAATTTTTATTTATTTATTTAGGGAGTATGGCTTTGTATTTAATGGCTTACATATACATTTACATACTTATTCCTCCACCTAAACCTTGCTCGTTGAATCCGTCTAAAATTGAGAAATTAAGGGGAATCTTAATTTTGAATTATTTCATTTTTACTGAAGCAGAATTATACCATGATTTAAACATTGCTTAAATTAATTAATTGTAGTTAAATGCTATAAAGAGATAAATGATAATAACATATGTTAACATTGAATATTATATTATGTGGGCAAGAGATTTGATTCATTTTAATTTAATTTAATGTTTTATGAAAAATATTGGGCAGTGAAGTTTAATTGTAACATAAATAATTATTCCTAAAAGAATTTTATCATAATTTTGTTTTGAAGCCTTCATATGGCATCCTTTCCAGCCTTTGGTGGTGAGGCTGGCGGCGCCTGGACTGATATGAGGCCTTATGCATGATAGGAAGAGGAGGAAGGCTGCTTAAGGCGGCCGGAGCCACATCTCCTTCTGATCATGGCTGGCTTAAAAAGACGAGTATAATGTATATATGAAGTAAGAGAAGAGTTCAACTTGCACAATCCTTTTAATTAAATGGAGAGATGAAGATCGAGGGGGGTAAGAGCAGACTAGATTGTAAAGTGGAAAGCATTGGGTTTGGTCGCATGCGATTGTGATGGAAATTATGTAAGGCGATGGTTAGATGTGCAACGAATATCGCTGCATATGCCTGCTCCACATTACCAGCAACTGTACTACAACCAAGCTGAATCAATCAACCATAACTGAATGATCGCAGCCACTCTTTTGACATTCTTCAAATCTCCTATGTTCATTTATTGCCCCTTACTGTTCCGAATGTAATGTTAGTTGGATTAATGAAAAGCTTCTATTCCTTCCTACTCTCTCGATTCTCCCAACATTCTTCATGGTATCAGAGCACTCATATCCTCCTCCAATGCTTCCTCCAGCGACCAACCTGCAAACCAACAAACATCTCTGCCTAGTGACAACCCGATTCCCAAAGTTCAGAACCTAGTCTTGAGCAACAGTCAGAGCCTAGTCTCCACTCACTCGTCGCAGATAACCATACAACTTGGAAGGCACAGGTACTCTAGCTATTTCGAGCAAACTGATATGATAGCTTCCTCGGTGGCACCTGCCCATTCCCGTCCAAGCATCTACCCAATGGGAACGGTACTCCACACCTCAATCCTGATTTTACCAAATGGATGTTAATAGACCAAAACCTAGCTGCGGCTCCCTTCTCGGTTATATCTCCATCAATCTTACCATATGTCCTACCTCTGGACACTTGCCAAGACATCTGGACAACGATTGAACGCCGTCTTCAATCTTTCAACCGGTCTAGAATTATCCAGTTAAGAAATGAACTCCACAATCTCAGCATATTGAATAAATCTATGACCCAATACCTATCTGAAATTAAAGCTAGGGTCGACACCTTAGCAGTCGCTGGCGCCTCAATCAACCTGGAGGACATCTTACACTACACTCTCAAAGGATTGCCTTCCACTATGTACATTCCTTCAAACATTATCCCTTGAAAACCTTGCAAATGAAACGACCAAAGAAACTTCCAATTCTACCGTCCTCACCGCCTCCCACGGTTGAGGAAGAAGCCACAACAAAAGTCACACCCCCAATGAAAATCACAATGGATCCTACTCTTGCTTCACCTCACCAAACCAAAAATCCAACCACACAAGCAAGCTCCACCCATTTGTCAAATATGTCACAAAGTGGGACATGGAACTTTCAAGTGTTGGTTTCACCATGATAAATCCTACCAAACTCCTGCAGCACTTGTTGCCTCCAAAACCAACTCAACCGATGGCAAATGGTACCTTGAAAGTGGTGTCACAGAGCACTTCACTGTTGAACTAACCCAACTCATACATGCTCAAGACTATCAAGGAGACAACACAATTACAGTTGGAAATGGCCAACAACTGCTCATTGCACAAGTCGGCCAAGGTATCCTGCCCACTCCTCTGACATCTTCCTCAATTATATCACATTACCAATCTATCTTATAATCTTCTTCTCCATACATAAAGTAACCAAAGCTAACTCATGCTCCATCTCTTTCATCTCCGATGCTTATCACATCATGAATCCAAAGACCAACCGCACCATCCTTAAAGGTCCAAGCATCGGCGGACTCTATCCTATCACCTCTCAAACCATCAACCTTTCTTGCACTCCTTCTGGTTCAACACATACCACGACTCTTGACACCAACGACTTAGGTCTTCTTTTCCACTTGAACTTGTTCATAGCAATATATGGGGACCTTCCCCCACCCTATCTCTACAATGCTATAAATATTATTTGGTTTTTATTAATGACTACTCTAGATACACTTGTGTTTATCTTCTTCACAACAAAAATGAAACAACAAAAAAAATTATAGAATTTAAAGCAATGGTCGACAACCATTTTCCATTCAAAATAAAAAAACACTCCGCACTGATGGTTGCGAAAAATTTCTCAATACCACTTTACAAACCCATCTTTAAAAAATAGTATACTTCACCAATACACATATCCCTACACCCTTGAACAGATTGACGCCTCTGAATGTAAACATCGCCATCTCATCAAGATCGTTCACACTCTTATGACTACCGCATCCCTTTCTGCTCATTTATGGGCCGATACATTACTCATTGCCACCAACCTTATTAATCACCTACCTTCCTCTGCTTCAAACAATAGCTCCCTGCGAACTACCGTATCAATGTTAATCACCCACCTTTTCTACTCATACCTACTTTCTTTTTAAAAAAAAACACCTCCTCTCACCACACCCACAGATAAAACTCAACCACAACAACCAACCACACCTACATCTACCTTCACAATTCCACCCCCACACCATTCTCATAGATAATACTCAACAACAGTAATCAAGACCATCTCCTATTCATCCCACTCCCTCACCTATCTTCTCTCCACTGAACCCAATTCCAAGAGTATCTTCTCCCAAACATCCTCAAGCTCCATCCACACATCCCATGCAAACTCTTCTCAAAACTGACTCACTAAAACCTTATCAAATCCTCAACCTCACACATCAATCCCAATCCGATCTGACATGCTACTAGTCCCCCCATCTCCTCATTAGAATGTCATCGGTTGCAAGTGGACATTTTGACACTAAACTCAAAAGATGATGGCTCCATCGTGCATGATAAAGCCCGCCTAATAGGAGATGGTCTACACTGTAGTCTTTAATGTTCCAAATAGGCTCCATCGTGCATCAAACAAAAACACAATTTTGACTACACTGAAACATTCAACCTCGTCTCCAAATTACCCACTATCTGAGTTCTCATCACTCTTGCTCTTCACCGCAAATGGCCAATTCTCCAACTGGACGTCTTTAATGTGTTTCTTCATAGCCATCTAACTGAAATTGTTCACATCTTGTTAAATCTCGTTGGGCAGCCCACTTGCAACTTAAAACACATTTATCACTAACATATGAGAATGTCATGCAAGGAGAGCACTCTGAGTTATAATATTTGTAAAAAAAGAATACGAAAGTTACAACTCGACATCTGCGCCTTTCTCTAGTTGCATCCATGTATTTCGATATTGAAAAAGCTAACACATAAGCATCAATGAATTAGCTACAATCATATAGGATTACAAAAAAAACCAACATAAGCAAATAACATTACAGAAGTAAATAGAAAACATAAAGAGGAATGAAAAACTCTCAAATAAAGTGGCATGTTTAAAACAATTTAAAAATTCGAAGAACCATGAAAAACCATAAACAAATAGAAATGTCTCACAAAAATCTAATTAAAAAAAAAGTCCCTCAAATGTCACTACTCCCATTAAAATAATGTGGGTAAGCCACGCTACGGTCAACGAGCATCACTTTGAAAAAGTCTCTTTGGGTCGAATCTTCAAGCAACCTCATAGATAACAAATACAGTGACATTTCCTTTGAAATTTTTAGAGTTGCATCCAGAATTAACATAACTGCTGGACAAAAGTTGCTTGTGATGTGTTGGGGTCATTGGTTCATGAAGCCACTAACTGTGAGATCAACTTCCAATGAAAGCAGCTCCTGCTTTATTTTTATTTTCAAATCGGGGACGCATTGACCGGCTTGTGGACTCAACTTCATGTTGGTCAGTTCCCAAGTTTTCGGGGATGCCACCAAACCCTGTCTCTTTGAGAACACTTGCATAGTTGTTCGTTGTCACGACACCCCCAAACATACAATCTAACTTCTCTTTCAACTCAGGATCAATTTCACTATATTTAATTTTTTTGCAACAGAAACCACCTATAAATTCATATAACATGTAGTTGAATTTAAAAATAAATTAAAAATTGACAAAATATGGGACATTTAAAAAATGCTCACCACCAGTCTTTGTGCCCACCACTCCTCGAAGCATCAATCGCTCGCTTTACCGGATCACACCCCAAGCTCATTAACCCTCGCTTTAATTCTTTCGAGATTTTACAATTCTTCTTTAGCCGATCTCCCTTGCTTTTTAACTGCATTTTATCATACTCTTTGCATGTAATTTTCTTGAATTTTCTAATAATATTTTGCCAACCTTCTTTGTTGAATTAGTTTGTCGGCCTATTTCCTGGATCGACCTCCTCGAGGCAAAGGTCGTAAAATATTAATTTGTCTCTATAATCCACATTTGTGATGAACCGACCTCTTTTGCCTTAACTATTGTAGTAATAATATAAAAAAAAAACTAATTAACATAAATAAGAAAGCCACAATATCACAAAGCAAAGAAAAATAGAAATGCCACAATATCATCACTAATGCTATCACGTCCACACACCAACACCTCCACACAGACAGCAACACCTCCACACTCCAACACATCAAGACACCGACACCTCCACAGACTAGCACATTAAGACACTAACACATCCAAAACACCACCATCACAACCTCCACATACCAACAC